AGAGCAGCGATCATGTGCTCACGGCGTCTTCAGTGGCAGTTCACAAACTGTGGGTAAAACGATTTGACCATTAATTATAACGTTATATACGTAACCATATATATGGTTATCCCCGCTTTGGACACTGCGTTAGGTTTTGTGCTACATCATTGTTTTCAAGTTAGAGTATCTTTTCAAATAAAACGCTATTCTAGTCAAATATCAGATACGATGACACTACTGATTTTGGTCGTGCTAAGAGTATACGAAAGTCTGAACTTCACTATACTTAAATAATTAATCGAGTCCATTATGATTCATGATCTTATTGTTTGCAAACTGTTGAAGTCCTTATCACAGTAGATGTACATATTTCACTCTATGCATAGAGTAAAGCAAAATGTATCACTATGTGCATACACATCTGCAATTTCATCACAATATCGTCGAAGTAATCTTCTTGAATTGCACCTGAGTGTTATGTAGTTAACTATTGTCTGTATTTTATCAAATTTAGTGTTATTTTAAATTCTAAACAAATGAAGCTGTAACTTTGAAAACAGCAGAAGTTCACGTTACAACATTATCTATATGCGTTATTGGTGTAACTGTTTCCAGCATACTCAGACCTATGTGATAATATTAAAAATGTAAAAAGACAACAAATAACAGAAGCAGAACAGTTGGTAAAGAATGGATTGAATAGTGTTACTCAATTAATCCTTTAGTTACCACTAGCACTGTATTTAACTACTATTTATTATTTACTTTATTATATATTATTATATATTTAGCTACTATTTACTACGTATTTTATTATATTGTATATTATTACATATTTAACTACTTTTTAATACTATAGTGGTTTTCGTGTATGTCATCTTTTCACACGATACGCCACTCTAGTGGCTCGCGTTTTTCTTTGTCATATTTCTTTGTCATATATTTGTACAGATAAATTGTTCAGAGATTATTATTTACGTGGAAAATGTAAATAAGGTAAATATGAAGATAGGTGGTAGAACAATACAAGAGATGATCCTACGTTCCAAAATGAGCTGAAAATATAGAATAAACTTTTATCGTTGCTTTGTTTTCGAGAAAATCAAAGTTGAAGATCTGTCTGATATACGTGCACATCAGAATGTCCTCTGATAATAACGGATTTTGCTTATACGGTTACATTAATAGTGTTACGAGTAATACTATACTATTACTATAGTTAGTGCTACTAACTCATGACGCATTTTGAAAATTTTAGTAGTAACTTTTATTGATCTATCAGATTTGTTAGTATTGTTCAGATTCAAACTCTCTCGAAAACGGAATAACAAACGACAGAAGTTTATTTCATATTCTCAACTCATTTTTGTATATAGGACTACATCTTGTCTTGTACCACCCATCCCCAAAGACCTTATATAAGTACTTCATGTAACACTTATATAACACATTCAGGGGAACACTTATAAAATATATGTAATATATATAATGTGGTTTATTTTAAATAAAGATAATTACAAAATAATTGCGAACAATGGACATGAAGCTAAGTACCTATAGATCCTTTTTTTTTCTTTAATACTTCACTGATACATTAATTGATTTTGCATAAAAAATTAGGAGAACATCACAAATGGAACAATTTAGTTATAATGAAAAACTGCCTAATATATTCAGATTTTGAAATTCGTTGACATATCTTAATGATGAGAACAAAAATGTTAATAGTCATTGACTCACAAATTAGACAGATTAAGCACATTTAATTTTTTGCTCTTGTATTTCTCTATATACTATATTACAGACATATACAATAGTATGTTAACAGAAGTAATATATTACAAATACTGTTGGAAAACGTGATCGCTACACCCTCACTTGGGCTGCCAATTATGTGGTGGAGGACGTTCCCGCGTAAAATGAGTACTGCACGTTCCCTGTCGTATATTGTGTGTGCACGTGTGCTTGAGCGCTTCCTGCGACCGGTTATTCTTACATTCACATTGCGTTTACATTAATAAATATATTAATAAAACAATTAAAAAATTATGTTACATACAGTTTCTATAATAATGAATTCAGAGTTCTCAGTTTATATAATAAAAAAATCAGTACAGGATTCTATTCAAAACAATTCAAGGTTTTCAGTCAAAACATCATTCCAATAAAAAATATAGCAGGTACAAATAGTTGAAATATTGAAATGAAAGTATTTTATAGCTATTGGCAATTGCTGTAAAATACATGTACCGTGCCTTTTCAGACAAAGAAAGCCCAAGAGGAAACTCCATAAATCTGTCACTCTATTTTCCAGAACTTGTATAGTTCTTTCAAGAAAAGAAAAATATGTAGAAGCAATAGATATGTTGAAAAATATAGAGCATGGAAATACAGATGCAGAAAAAATATATATAGTGTTGAACAGTAGTTTAATAAACAATTTTCTTCCGTTTGACGAGTATCTTCCATTCTTAAAGATTTGAATCCTTTAATATCATCATTCTGTATTACTATCTACTATCGCTATTTTTCAGAAATACGTTAACCTTATAGCTTTTTATCAATTGTAGTTATTAATATATTTAAATTATTAACCATTGAAAAGTTTCAAATTTAGAAACTTTAATTTTTTTCAGTGAAACTTCTGGCGCATAAAACCTGTTTTACATGACTTTTGTTTGAAAATTTTGATTCTCTTTTGTTGCATTTTGTTACGAAAATGTTGTTGTAAATGTAATTATTTCAGGTATTATGAGAAGTTGTTTTACATAAACGGGATTTTATCTCTAATAATTTGAATTGCACTACTTCGTACTTGGTGCTCTGCTTCTGAAAACTGACATGGTGCTTAGTTTCTTCGTAGTATTTATTCTATATTTACCCATATTATCAACAACAGAAAAGGCAAGGTCAATGATAGTTGTCATTAATTATTCATTACTTAGTTGCTTGCTTCAAACGTAATGATCGGGACAAAACTAGAGTGCTCGAATAAGTTCGTATTATGAAGTACTCAATCTCTGTTTTACTTCTGTTAATTCCTGATAACTTGATTACATATTTGTGTAACACCAATGAAGGTTACTTGAGTAATCTAAACCTTCATTTCATCAAACTTTATAATTTTACTGCGACTGAGAATCACTTTTTCAGTGCAAAATGTTAAATTTATGTGTATTAGATTTTAAATTATTTTTTGTTTATTTTACGACGACACAAATGTGATCGCTGTAAATTTAATGTGCAACAACGTATGAGAAACGTAGTGTAAATGTTACATAACCGGTTATATCACAATGATTAATCTTGCAAGTCAGATCCACTTTGCAGGGTAATTTTTCCACCAGTTTCCTCAAGTGCTTTCAGTATTTCTTCCCGCAAAGTTTTTTGTATTTCTAAGTTCAACGCCATCTCGTAAAGAGTGAAAGACATTGTGGTAGAGGAAGTTTCGAAGCCACCAGTGAAGAAAACAAATACAGTCATTTTCTTTGTCAACTAAATTTCGCAGTACTGGAGAAACAGAACCAAGGATGCGCTAAATGTGAATGTTAATGTACGAATGCTTTGAATTGGAATACGAAGTACTGTAAATGTCCTCACTAGGGATCTTCTCCCCATTGACGACCAATTGTTTTTATCGTGTAGTATAAATCAACAATTTTAATATTAATATAAGCATACTGTGTATACAGTTAATGTAATGAATAAATAAATAAATTTCTTTACTTTAATGCAATTGTAATGCAAAAATCAAATAATATCAATCAATAAAATCAATCAATAAATATAATTATCAATAGTCATACCAACATATTCCTAATTAATAGATGAATCAGTATCTCTTAAAGATTTAATATGAAAAACGATTATGTAGCAAAATATTTTAATTTCACATCATCCCTTTTCTTGTAATTATTTTCAAATAGCTCGGAAACTTCGGTCATTGGTGATCACCATGGCGATTAACCTATTAACCTCACTACTAAATATATTTAGTCTATTAAGATGACACATAAATACATCATTTAGTATCATTTTGAAATTTCGAAAACAGCCCAAAGAACCTGTCGTAAATATCCCCATTTAAGATATTAACCCCTTGTCCTACAACAAGTGAGACTCGTGGTAAGAAATTTGGACCAAAAACAATAAGCACGAGTCTGACTCGTGGTACTTCGTTCGGGACAAAAACAATAAGCACGAGTCTGACTCGTGGTACTTTGTTCGGGACAAAATAAACAACACGAGTCAAACTTGTGGTTCAGTTGTTCTTGATATTTTCTTACTTTACTTACGTGTAATTCTTCGTTACGTTCACACGTTTAGGTTATAATTCCCTAAAAGAATAAAAAATTTGTTAAGAATTTTTCGACCTTCTTGTTTATTGTGGCTCGAGCAGTCGGGAATTATCGAGTAGGACAAACGGTTAAAATATATTCGGCGTATTGTATAACCTATTGTCGCTTTGGATATATCAAAATATCATATCACGCGAAACAATTGTAAACAAGGCAAAGTTCAAATCTGATTAAAAATGCAGTATCTTTTTTGTCCATTTAACTTTTTATCAGATCTTATACTGTCAGATTAATCAGTTCTTTAATTTTCGTCTTTCTTTTCACGTCTGTTTCTATTAAGAAAAATTTATAGTTTGATTTGTTTACCTATAATTGAATAACGTTGAATTTTATAACAATAATTATTTAACCAATTACAGCAGGAATATAAAATGCTGGTGCGGTTAGTATTAAATGTATAATGACTCATTTCCAGTACTGTGGTATGGAAAATGAAGAGCAAGGTCTAAGTCAGAAAAAAAAGTCATTGCTTGGTTGATTTTGTATAAAGTCCACGCTATCTTAGTCTCTTTTTTTGGAACGGCGGGCGACCTTGCCATATGACTTTGCCGCTGCAATAGGGTCGCGTGCTATAGATGCATGGCCGCTGACAACATTTCAATACTTTCAACATGTTAAATTCTGCATACCGAGATAATATATGCAGGTAGTCGACGAGCAGTCTACATGTAGAATATGCGAACTGTTATATCATGTATTTCTCACGCTGCTGTGTGACCATATTTAAACTGACATTATGATGTCTGCAACCATGTCATTCAATCAAATAGCTGCCATTATACAGTAAGTAAAAAAAGATTCACATTTTTTCTTATGTTGCTCGAATTAATTTAAAATTTGTTTATAATAACGTTTAGTTAATTTTTGGTAGTTACGTATTATACGAACCACATTTGTTTCTTAATTGAAGATCTCACTGGTCAGTAATGTGGGTTAAGTCTGGATTAGTATTTATTTAATATTATTTAATGTTGTTATTAATATTTTATTATTAGCATTATCACTGTTATTACCATTATTATTAATATTTTATATCTTGAAAACGAAGGCAGTTCGTGTAATACGTGAGTGTCAAATTTTTATAGCAATACTATTATACTATTATGGTATATTTTAATTTTCGTAAATCATTCGAAGGAACTAGAAGAAATTATACTTTTCTAAACTTCTTGTCAATGGCTTTCCATTTACTTTTAGGTTTTGATATTTCATATAGTTAAGTCACCCAGAAGCAATACGGTTAAGTCTAAAAAACAAAAATTGAGAAAATCAATGTTTCGGCTTCTGAAATTATCATACAACATATTCAGAAGCTATAAAAAGAAGGGCTTTCTGACCTAGAAAGAAACAAGCAAACAAGTAAATCCTTTGATAAATAAAAAGAACAGTATTTATTCCATTAAAATTTACAAAAACCAGAAAATATCAAGAAATGGATTTAGCCGGATTGGCTTCTTAGCGACTCAATTAACACATTCGTTACCAGAATCACTTTATGATAACTTCGTTTATAGCTTCGGTAAAAAGGTTGAATGAATTATTCTCGGAAATGATGCATGTAACTATTTAACTTGTTAATGCATGGCACAAGACTCAGTAACACTTCCTTTTTTATGAAGTAGCTACGTTGCATTTAATGAAATATTGTAATTACAGAAACTATCACTGTAACAAATGGTAGTCTTCCGATTTACGAAGAAGGGACTGAAGTAGACGACGGAATTAGCGCCGTTGGAAATGAAGATTACATCACCGATAGAAGACTAGTAAAACGAAGGAGGCTGCAGACTCACGTCGACGAGGCAATAGCAATTATGAGAAGCATTAATAACTCTCAATAGCGGAAAAACGAATATTACTTATTTGGGAAACAAGTAGGTATTAAGATAAGTTAACTACCGACCGCGTATGCACGAAATTTAGTGTAACATATCATTAACACGATGCTGTTTCAAGCGAAGATGGGAAAATGTAATACTCCATCTCAATTTATTTTGCCCCCCTCATGCGATCCAGACTTTACTCTATACTTTCAGTAATTTGTCAGTTTAAGTAAATCCCTGGGCCCCTTATATTCCATTATCAATGAATTTTTCCAATTTTACACCTTTATCGGACGCAGCCACATAATTTCTATCTCCATTTGTCCAGCAAATTTAATAAGAATTAAAAGTCATTTATAGTCTAATCATCATCATCATCATCATCACAGTATTGTATTTTTTATATTTTCTACAATATTTCTTTATATTTTTGTATATTTATATTTATTTATATATTTGAAATTTGTATAAGGCTACCACTTGAAATTATTCACAGAATTATCTTCCCGTTTCAATGATATGTCCGTTTAAATCTGTTTCCAAAATTTGAAAGTGACTTTTGATATTCAATATTAATAATAACCTCTGCAGTAGATTATTTTGATACTAAATGTCTGAACAAAATGTATGTTTTATTTTTATTTATTAAAGCATAAAATGTATATTTTTATTGGTTAAAGATTCATTAGTATTATTTATAGAATTTAAAATGTGATTCATAATAATTCATAAACAAAGTAATATTCGATATTTCGAATTGAAAGTATTTCTGTTAAATAATGAAATGTCTGGAGAAGAGAAATGAAAAATGAAAAATTTAATTTGTTTTTATGTAACAGTATGGTATCCTGGTAGGTAAAAATTGCCGATTAAAATAGTTGAATCTGTCACTAGTAATTCTTGTATTTTGTTTATTAATGCTTAATTCGTTATCATTTCAAAATGTGCCAAAATTACGAATGTCTTTCTTGTTTAATCTAAATTTTACTGCAAATAACAAAAGAAAATTGTTTTCTTCTCTATGACGGGTATACTCGTTATAAAACAAAAGTTATTACCTTTACATGGCAGGTATAGTCGTCATGAACATTTGTAAAGTATCAGAAAAGTTTTGTTCATTATGTAATGGTTCTTCAGAAACTAAACAATTTTCATTTCGAATAGCATTTCTTTCTAGCTCCAAAATTAGGAGATCTTCAGTTTAGACAGTTTATCTGTGATTACTCATCCTGTATATAAACAAATGATATGAGTACCCCAATATCATAAAACTATGTAAATAATTAGCCTGAAACATGCATTTTTTACTACTCATTGTCGAATTATTTGTAGTATAAATAAATAGAAAGTTCATTAAAAATGAATTTTTTATTATAAATATTCTTATAATGATAAATAAGTTTTTTATTATAATTATAATTACAAATCAAACGATAACTATTCAACAGAAAAGTATATCTTTTGACATACTTATTAACACTAGAACTACCAGAAAGGTGAAAATTACCCATACCTGATGTTCTCTTTTTCCAATTATTAAACAAATAACAGATGTTTCTTTGAGACATTATTAAAGAAATTTATTTAACAATGTGAAGACTGAATTGTAAATCAATTAAAATCTCAATAAATGCACGCTTGGAGTTTCTATAGAGGATTTACAAAAAGTCAATTGAACTACTCGGTAACTTTAATGTTAAACCAACGACTCTAATTAGATAAACAACATGTATCTCCTGTGTCTGTCTTTCCTAACACTAATTTCAATAACATTATTCCTATTCTCGCACTAGCACATTCCTCGCAATAAGTACAAATACGAAGAGACCTGTATACGCTGGTACGAGTGACAGTCGACACGATAATTTCAATATAGACCGATCAAAAACAGTTTTCACTAATGGGAAAATTGCCACAGTTAGTCTTCATTCCCCATTTATAATTGTCAACGATACCTATGTCACTTGTGTACGTCAATAATCGCGATTTTTGTTAAGAACCCAAGGCAAGCCGTTGAACGTCTGTCATCGTGGATCGTACGGAATATTATTCGCGAAAGTTCCCACGTTTGTGAACTATCTCCGAGACTTAACGATAGCCTGGATTTTATTCGAACGTCAAGGTATGCGTGCTTGAACTTTCTTTCCAGGACACGGCATGCTACGCGGCGAGTAATGGACGGTTAGGTTGGCGCACAGAAATTACAAGCGTGTCGTTTCGGAGTTGTTGCACGCGTGTACGGTTCGCTTTTCCATCCGTGTCACAACATGGTAATTTTCGTGTCACGACATCTCACCGTAAGCGAACCGAAGGAAACTGGAGAACAAAAGCCGTTTGAAAGAAGAAACGACGTAATTACTTGCACTTTTCCGCATGGAAACTTTTTGCGGCGTATGGTGACGGAACAATCTCTGCGCTGACATTTTGTACGGAGTGTTTGCAAATCAGAGGAAAAGTTTTAATGTATATAAATGGAAAAATTAATATTTTTTATATTACAAATAATCTTTTATTCGAGTTGTAACGACTAATTTTGTTACTTCAAGAGATATCTCGTCGGGTGCAAACAATGATAATAATTATGATTATAATTGATTGATTTCATTAAATCATTTTTTCTTAATTTACATTTTATTATTTCTTTTTTTCTTAGTTATAATGATATTATAATTGTTGAACCTATTGTTTCATTAGAATGTGATAATTTTCCAAGAAAGAAAATCAGGTTTGACTAACAAAATCCTTTGTGACTTTAAAAATACAGTAGGATATTGTTTAATCGAATTCTTCTACTTTTTGTGAACGAGATCGCACAAGAGTCTTGGTTATCTACAGACACAATGATTCAGGTGTTTAAATTATATCAAATGATATAATTTATATATAAATATAATATAATATAATATTATATATAACAGATATAATATAATCAAATTTTGCGAATATGATTTAAGAAATTGAGACACTTGAGATATGTATTCATTTTTCTGAATTAGTTGCCCAATTAAATCGAGTGATTGAGGTTTTAATGTATTAATATGTACACTTGTGTTCGTTGGAATAATTTTCTTGTGTGTAATAAGTACTATCTACCCTTGAGTTGTGAATCCTGCTTTTTAACACTCTGTAGAATAAATATTTCAGTATCGAGCTCTTGGGAATTGTTACTGACCACTGGTTCAGTTGATTGTTATATTAACCTTAGACACAACAGCAATTAACTGTAAACTATAACACGAAAGTCTAAAGCTTATGTTAATCCATACCACACTGAGATTGTTCAATAAAAGTTATTGGCAACTAACAATAAGCGTTATCGATGAAACCTTTGGTAACTAGATATCAAATAATTGTGTTTCTTACGTTCACCGTATTAACTAGTGTCGATATGACAATAAAAAACGATACTAGACAATGACAAATACTATTCTTTATATCTTTCTCGTTTGGTAGCATAATAAAAAGATACACTTGCTTACACGATTTTAGCAAGTCATGAATCATATAGATACATGATACATACTATTTTCGAATACTTCATGAATTTGTAACTTTTCCGAAATAGTAATAAATCTTCGTTTACTAAAACTCGTATAAAACAACTGGAATACTAATCTAGATTCTAGTGCCATGTATCATACAGGCGTATGTACACTAGTACATTGTAAACTGTTTATACATTTACATCAATAAAAATATGTTTAACAAGTAAGAGCGTGAACATTAAATATTCCTTAGAGGTGAACATTATTCAAATGGTTTCGAGTGAATATTTATCTAAGATAATGAGTCGAATAAATTTTTATTGAACGAGTATTTAATTTCAATAAAAATTATTTATTAACCAAACATTATTATAACTTTCTTCATATCAAGTTTGTATAACTAATATTATCTTCAATAATTTCGTTTTTTATAGAATATGTTTCAAATTTCATCTGAATTAATAATTTCATTTCTGTTATCATATTCTTAAACTATATCTCCACAATCAACAGAAAAAATAATCTAAATTCTCAACTATTTTGTTTTCATGTTCTTTAAAATATATTATTGAATAGCATATTAGGATGTTTTTCATTTTTTATATGTATGTAAAAGTAATTCTTTTCTGCTAAAATACTTTTTGCCCAGTTATACAATGCAAAAAACTGTATTGAAAGTGCAATGTTAATACCGAATAAATAGAACAAATACCAGCTTTATGTGATACCAATCGGTAAACTTACATTGACCTTACAAATTGAATTATCTTATATTTATAAACAGCTAAAAAACCGCAGAATCCTACAAACTGCATTAAACTTGAACCAAAAATAAAGTTCAAGAAATTATAAAGATCGATAAAAAAAGTTACAAAGAACAAGTCATTTCTAACATCATTTCGAATACGTATCTGATAAAAACATGTCGTGTCAACCTAATTAGTACAATCCATTCAAGTATATAATTTACGTAATCATTGGTTACAATTATATTATAATTATTTTTAAATAGGAAGATATTGTTGACCAAATGAAAACAGAAATATAATAGATGAAAAAAGTGGGGTGATAGTTGGAAGTAAAATTTTATGCACGAGACTTTTCCTTTAATGATATTGAAATCAAGTTAAATTAAAATCGATATCGCGTTTCCTTATTCTCTGACGCAAAATTCAACGGCGATTTACAAGAAAACTATTCATTTTTTATCTATGGTTCTTTTGAGACTATTTATTTCTGCGATGAGTAGAATACGATGGCGCAGTACAAAATTTTAACCTTTTTCTGTCCAGGGGAAAGAGAATTTTGCAGCGGCTTCTTTATCTCAACCTCCATCAAAACGAAAGTGTAGAGTCATGTTACGACAAAATATGCAAACATTTCTTTATATCCCGTACTTTTACAAATACAGATTATACTATCTTTAACTTGGGTCAAAGTTTATCTGCATTACATACGTGCGATTATGTTGCGATGTCACAACAAATAAGTGGCAATGCATCTGAAAGAAACATTTCACAAACATTAATAGGTAGAAGTGTTTAAGAAAATGAAATAACCTATATATTCTTTATTCAATTTTTGTAACAACATGCTTTACGAAAGAATTTTATTGTATACTTTCAGTCTTTTTTGTGTATATGAGATTTAAGGATTTGATGCTGTATTGAAACGAAAAAATATAGTTTGTAATTGAAGTTTAAAATGACGTACGTAATTACAGCTATTAAAGAAGTCCGAAAAAAATTTTTACACATGGTCAATGTCATACCCATAGGCGTACAATATGCAAAGTTCCACAGGTAATTTGTTTCAGATAATTTCAGGTGTTTTTGAATCAACCCTTTCTTTGAATACATGGTTTAGACCTTATCTCAATTCTTTTTTTATATTTTCTGATTAAGTGAGTCATCATGGAAGAGATAAAATTAATATCATACTTTCCATTCAAAACTGCCGTATCACATAGTTATTAATAGTGTTTACTCGATGATAATGTTGCAATCTGCATTCAAGAAGCATGCTTATCATATTATTATAGAGAAATTGTTATATAATGCAAATTGAAATATTTCATATATGCAAATAAGTAATACAAGAATTGAATAAATTAATGCTATAATCCTTTCAATTGAAAAATCTTAAAACTTCTAAATATATTATAAATACATACATACACTGGAGGAAAACCTGGTGGAATGTAATCTTTATAGATGAAAAACGGTTTTGTCTGGATGGTCCATTTGCCAAACGGCAAAAATTATTTACGAATATTTTTCAAAGGAGAAAATTTCTGTTTTAGAAAGGCCGGCGTGCTCCCTGGGCCTCAATATAATTGAGAACTGTTGGGGATTATTATCAAAAGCTGTCTACGTAGAAGGTAGACAATTTGAAAATTTAAATGATTTAAAAATCTGTTTTAAAGAGGAATGGAAAAATTTATCACAATCTTCAGTTAAAGTATTGTATAAATCCTTACCAAAAAGGATGATAGAAGTAATTGAGAACTACGAATGTCCCACGCATTATTAAACATAGGTACAGTTATATAATTTTCATATTTGTCTACCTTAAATTTACATAATACGGAATATTTTTCGGACGTGCTACCATTTTGTCTGTATTCATTTGGGTATTTGTATTTTTACTAAGAAAATTCGTTGAAGGAAAGTCAATAAATGTTATGTTTCCATATTAGTAGACCTATTTATGTATCATTTGCACCTTGTACCATAATGATAACGTGAGAAATTAAAGATAACACACGTGTGCTATCATTTTTTTGGGGAGTGTATATACTGATCCAAGTAATTAAGAGATTACTTAATAATAATAAAAACATTGTTGAACTTGGAATTTTTGTAATTTTGTAATAAAATGTCACAAAACATTTTGTTTGGACTCATTTTAAAGCATGAAGCTATTACTTACACCTTCTGTAGCCGTTTTCTTTGGCGATATTCTTGCTTCATGTAACGGATGAAAAGATAAACGTATTTCTCCGTTTCTTAAATTGAGCAAATTCAAACGCTTCTACATTTTCCTTTGCAACGATCCTTTAAAACTTGTCGTACGAGTATTTTTGCAATTTTACTGAAATTTGCATGAAAAATGCAATTTGATTGCATTAAACACTAATATCAAATTAAACACAAATTAACCACGTACAATCACGATATACAAGTTAAATGTCATTTTTTCATGGAACCTTTTTGTAATATACATCAAGTAATTCTAACACTATGGACACCCTTTTTTCAAACTTATAAAGTGATGACTCCAATCTTCAAATCTATAATCGATCCAGTTTTGAAAGAATGTATTTAGTGTAGGTGGAGACGTGTAGCCTTATATTATGAATTATATTATTAATGAATATTATGAATGAATTTAATTTTGAGGAGCAACGCGTTAAAAGGTTGAGTCCAAATCCCACTTTTCCTATATAGTTTCTTCTATACTAATTAAAATTATATCTACGCTGTAAAATAAAATTATGTTTGAAATAAATAAAAATTATGTCTACAGTGTACATCATTTTAATCAATAGCTAATTGTAGATTCTACAGAAAGGAGAACGCGATGAAACAGAATGACAAGACGTTTGACTTCCTGTAAAATTTCTTGTAATAACAAGCAACGTATAATAAAGCATAATTATTTGCTCTGCAGTAAGTAATTACATGTTCTACAATATTACATTATATAAGTGTTGCAGATCTCAAGTCTTCAACCTGTTTTCCTCGATTAATACTATTACATGCATTGCAAACGCAGGTATGCGCAATATTGTTAAAAAGAATGTTTTTTTTAAGTAAAAAATCGCTTATCTGAGACAATATATTGAGAGCATTGTTCCCTATATTTCCCTACGTACACACTCAAGTATACTTCAATAAACTCCGTCAACTACCCGAGTTTCAAATTGTAAGCCTCAGAAATACAATTTACAGACTTCAACATCTAAAATTACAAAAATAATATCTTATCTTTTAGAACGATAACGAAGATTTCACTTGACATTATTGGGTTTCACGTGAGAAAGTTATATCAGTGATTAAACGATGAAGTCTATTTCAAGAGTTTCAAAATTGAATACAGAACCATTTCAAAGTTCTAGGAACAGTTTCACAGATAAATAATAATATATTAATTATATAATTATATAAGATATTATTATGATT